GTCTCGAAGCGCTCCACTCGAGGAAGCGTTCCCGTCGCCGGCCGCAGTCGGGTAATTTCGCGTTTTATGAAATTCACCTCACGCGAAACGTAGCCGGCGGGTAAAGCCGCGGCCGGAATCGTTTTGTCCCGTATTGCGCGAGATACTTATATCGTCCGGTGAGACACGGACGAATTTTTTATGCAACTTGAGAGCAATCGCGACGAAAGCGAGCGCGGTTTCATGCGCGAACGAAAGGTGACTCGAATCCATTCTCCTTTCTTTTCCTTCATTCCTTTCTTTTTTTCGAGACGGTATTTCGCACACGAGAATTCGCGTCACGGTGGTCGTGTAAGGCGATTAACTGATATTTAGAGAGCTAATTTCGGGTGTTATGCTCAAACTTGTTACGGGGATTGCGTCACGAGAGATTATCCGTCACTTTATGAAATTGCCTCGCGAAGAACTTCTCTTCATTGCGCTCGATTTTCGTTTTATCAACACCGGCTTTGTCGCTGATTATATTTTACAGGCTAAATTCCGCGAAATTATCAACCCCCAATTATCAACAGCGATCTAATTCGCGAATATAAATAGGCCTTGAGTCACCTAATGTTAGATTCCAGAATGTATCCTTTTTTTGTATTGTAGGAAAGAATATATAATGAGAATAAATTGTGTAGGGCTGGAAGGGATAAGTATTGCGGTCATTCAATCTTTCCACAATTTATATTCTTCTCATACATTTTTTTCTAATACAAAAAGCAGTAGAAACATTTTAGAATTTAATGTTAGGCGACTCACTCTCCACATTGACGGGTCAATTAACGCCGATGCCGAAGACAGATTAAGCTCGGGGAAAGCTTCACCACTTCTCGCTGTGGAATGCGACGCAACAGTACGAGTTAATAGTTTTTACAGTATTAGAAAAATGTGTGCGCGGCGCAAAATACAATACGTCTCACGTCGAGCATGACGCTTCCTTTCAGCTTCACTCTTTTCGCTTTGTTGCGCAAAATTATGCAGGCTGCTGAGTAAGTTGCTAAGCACAGCCCTGCTTTCAGAAGTGTCAGAGATAAAAGCTCAAGGACCGTGAAATACGTGCCGTCCTTAACTGTTCCGCCGGAAGAAAACTGTTTAGCTCACGTAATTAAATCGACACGACGACAAACTTAAGGTAAAAATTACCGCAGACCTTCCGCCGCTACCGTCGCTCCCCGTTTCGTTAGATTAGATTTGTCTAATCAGTAGGTGTGTCTATGTGTGTGTATGTGCGCGATACATTACGATTCTTCGGACTTTTGTCGTTTGAAAAATCAAAATCTCAAAATTCGAAAAGTGAAATGGGTTCGTATCTTCCCGCAAGCTTGTTATCTCGAAGTTCGAATGCCAAGACAATTTACAAGAAACAATTCTCCAAAGTAACACATTTACGTAAGTTTTGTGTGTACAAATAGTACGAAGAGCGCAGCGTGATTGTGCTAGTGACGATCGTCTCTGCGTTATCGACATCGATGATCGAGTTCGTCATCGACTTTCCCCTTAACTTTGTGTTGCATCACCTTAACTTTGTCTTGTTATTATTATCTTAATAGTCGCGTGGAAGATACCTTGCTTCCTTGCGCTTACATGACGCAATCGGGAAACACTAAATAAAGAGCGACGGCTTCAGCAATTTCACGTACGCGTTTGTCTGTATTATGGTCAACGGCATGGTATTCGTGACGGCCAAATTGGACAACGGATTCGTGTTTAGCAGCCGAAAGTACGTCAGGAATGGCTGCTCGCGTGCTTCGTGCGGCTAAACAGTGTCGGACAGTGTAATAACAATTTGTTGCACATTATCTCGTCGTCATTTATTTTGCAACCTTCCGGGACAACTGCGCGTTTTTTAATTTTATTTTGAGAAAATCGTACTTCAGGAGATTGTTCAGGAGATATTTGCACGTCACGGGATTGCGACTTTTCAGAGTAAAATCGTGTCCCACATTTCGAACTTCGGCACGTTCCTCTCCAGATCAAAACGTGTCCTTTTTTTTCTCACTTTCTCTGAACACAACGCGCTGGACACGTTCGTGTTTAGTTTCCTGTTTTTCTCCTGTTTTCGCTCGCGAGAGCTCTCCAAACGTTTATCAATGAATATTCAGGGCGCGTTGGCCGACAATGACAAAACGTGCGCGTCGCGAAGTATCGCGTTAGCCTAATTTCATAAGGCGTAAGGCAACACCCGGCGCGCGATACAACAAATCTGCCACTTGAGTTCACATCGCGACACCGTTATAAATGTTTAAGACGCGCCATTAGCGTGGCGAGCCGGCGGGTCCAGAAGTGGTTAATGAAGATGGAAAATTAATTAAGTCGGAAAATTAACTCGCCCGCCGCGACGGGGCGCGAGGTATCGCGCGGTTCGCCGGATTCGAATCAAAGCCGCGAATTTTTGATTCGCTCTGCGTGGGCTTAAATTAAATTTCCACCTGAGTTAGCGAGTTCTCGTGTGTGGCCAGGTTACGCCGTGCACGAAGTTAAAAATTTACAAACACCCGCACTTTTCCCGGGGATTTTTCCGCACTCTTCCCGGGGAAGACCGGGCTTGTAATCGTGATTAAGCGATGACCGGCGCACTTTTAACGTAACGTACGGCGCCGCATTATGCAAAGCACGCTCCGCGGCGCGGAACGCCATCGCTCGCAGACAGTTCCTTAATTTCATCGCGACGAGTGCGGGATCTATTTGTTCACTGAGAAGCATTGGAGATAAGGCCTCGAGGATTATGAAGGAGAGATTGCTCGACTGCGGTCCAAGGAAGCGTCCTCGACAAGAGAGCCACCTAATTACGACGAGGGAAGATGGAAGCGTCAAACAGGGCCGGCTCTACGTTGTCGGAGCTCGAAGCTCCGCTCGTCTCGTGCCGCCTATATGAGTTCATGAGTTGATCTTTCGATAACTCAGTCGTTAAAGACCCGTTATCTATTTCTTGATTCATTTAACAGGGAAATTCCACTTTGAGAGAGAAAAATTACGTATTAGCACGTGAGATAATATGTGCCATAATTGAGATCACGGATAAATTGGCTAGGCGACTTGTTTATAGAGTTGACGTAATACCGTAGAGCCTGTGAATGTAAACACTCGAGAGCTGATATGAGATACGCTGAGAAGAACATTTTTAAACATTTATTTGTGGGATATAAAGCTGATTTCTGATATAAGGTACACTGAGGAGAAAATTTTTGGACATTTATTTGTGAGATATAAAGTTCATTTCTGAGAAACAAAGTTGGTTTCTCCGAAATAAAGATTATTTCTATGAAACAAACTTTATATCCCACAAATAAGTATTCAAGTATCTTTTTCTCAGTGTAGAGTTATAAAAATCGTGTGGACAAAAGAGAACAATAACCTAACGACTATATTATGACTTGCTCCACAAGTTTATACTGTAGATTAAGACTTGTGCGGTTCTTGATGCTGAAATATAACTCAATTCGTCGGTTGTGCCCGAGTTGAAATTTTGATGCTACTTTCGGCCTCAACATTCTACTTAACGCTTACTTTGATACTCTGAAGCCTACATCAATCTCTTCTTCTCTTGATACTGTTTAAGCCACACTGAGACAAAATACTTGAAAATTTGCGGGAAATTTTGCGAGATGTAAAGTTTATTTCTGTGAAATAATGTTTATTTCTATCTATCGGTGACCACCGCCAATGGAAATCCACATGGCGGCCCTGCCAGTGGTGAGAGCGAAGATGAAGAATAGTGAGAGAGAGAGAGAGAGGATAGTATCTTTCTCTCGGTTAGGTGCCTCCGAGAGGTACGACGAGGGAAGACGTACCCCTTAACGCGCTTTACCTCACCACTCACTCTCCTCTTCGGGTCCTACTCTGGGCGCCGTTGGTTAGAACGGCGGTCGTGAAAAAGGAAGAGGATAACCGGGAGATAACGACTATCGACGCCATTGCTGAAGTCGTAATGGACCGCTCTCTCCTCAAGAACGGCGCTTGTCTAAATGCTAAACTTTACGGCGTGCCCGCATGGATCGCTTTCCGGGAAACTTTAGCCGCCGACCTCCTCGAGAAACGGAAGCGTTGCCGACCGGTGATGCCGGTTAACTCTTTTCCGGAGCGCGTAACGACACTCACGATTTACTCCCTCGAGAAATCACGGCTGAGCAGTCCCTCGCTCAAGGATGCGCATTCGCGACTTTCGTCGCGTGTAACACGCATGTCTGAAAGGTGCTTCAGAGACGTTACTTGGACGGCTTGTTGTCTCAAGGACGTCTTTGACGCTCGTATTAATAGACGTCTGTCTTGAAACTTGTCTCATGTGAGATACTCAAAGTCTAACTAACTTTAGTAGTCGTAGATACCTGAGAAGTGCTGAGTATCTTTATTTTGCAAAGTTAAAGTTGAAATGCCATGTTTTTTTCTATCTTCCTACTAAAAATAATTACCTGACATTGTGAAAACTGATACACATACACGCACACACACAAGGCTGTTTCTCAAAAATGTTGTATCTTCCCTTTGGTTAAAAAAGCGTTTAACGAAATTTTCACTCTTATCACGTGATTCACAAAAACTCGCCATCAGACATGGTTAAAATCAGAAATCTAAATGCTTCCTTTGAATGATATAAGATTTGTGATATCATATTTATATTAACGTTTGTGTCAATCATATAAAATATTTGCGACATTATTCCTCGTTCCGCATCTCTTTCATGCAATAAATACATTTCCCCTGATGGATTCTTTCATAAATACACTTCCCTCATCTTATTGTCGACTCTTCGAGTTGCATGACACTGGTAATCCTGATTGCGAGTCTCGTTATCGTCGGAGCAAAATATCGAAAAAAATAAAAAGAAAAGAGACGACGGAGGAAAGTATAAGAGAGAAAGAGAGAGAGAGAGAGAGAGAGAGAGAGAGAGAGAGAGAGAGAGAACGCTAAGAAACCGTCATTCTGCAAATTGCCGTGGCACGAGCAGAATTCTAAAGGGACTGTCCTTTCTGTTGCAGCTTTCCGCCATAGTCGACGGGGTTTACACCGAGCACGGCCATACCGCGGGGTCGTTCACGCATTTGGCGAGCGATCGACTTCTCGTCGGCGGAGGTGCCGACGCGAGGTCCTTGCAGGGCGCCAAGGGGATCAACAACTTCGTCGGATGTCTGAGAAAGGTTAGATCCATACCATGATTTATTTATACCTCTTGCTAACTTTCCCATCCTCCGTTGGTGGATGGATTCAGACGGAGTCGAACGTTTTTGCCGCGACGACAAACCCACTACGCGTGTGTATGTGTGTGATTAAGAGAGAGAGAGAGAGAGAGAGAGAGAGAGAGAGAGAGAGAGAGAGGGAGGGAGAGAGAGTCGTTTCCGACAAAGTCAGTCGACGTATACAGAAATTAAATAGTCTGCGCGTTCGCTTTTTTCCCTGGCAGACATAAAAATAGCTTATAAAACGATTGATTAACCGCTTTTTATTTGCTCTTGTTGCGAACGAATATTCCTCCGGCCTATATTGTGCGACGGCAGAAGCGGGAGGGGGTTGGGAGCAGATATATATCGCCGGAGGCCAGGCCGCGCTATTGTCCGTCGTAATTATTAAATTGCCTTTTTTGCGCTGTTTTCGGTCGAGTGGTCAGTGTCGGACGACAATTACTCCGATACTGAAATTGCGCCGGGCGATTTGCCGATGGGGAGTCGCGATGGTGTGTCATTGGATCCTTGACGAGCGACCGTGCATCAATGGGGATAACGTAACCGCGGACTGTGAATCCTTTTGAGGGCGCGCGCGTTGATTAAACGTATCGCGCGCGCGCACCGTGATCAATTTAATTAGCGAAATAGTCGGCACGGACTGTACGGAATACGAAAAGTGCGTGCTGTATTCGGAAAATATAATGCGCGCTGTGAAATCGCCGACAAAAACGATCGAGCGCCGCTGGTATGAAGCGAACCGCGCTTGGAGCATTCGAGTACCCTTATCAGGGGAAAAAGTCGGGTCAAGATTGATCGCCAATTATACGCGGAAAAAGGATCAGCAGAAGAAGCTGAAATGTAATCGCGCTGCTCGTAATGTCTCTTTGGTACGAGGACAACTAATAAATTCAGCTAGTAAATGTTTCAATTCGCGATGAACACATTTTATCTGAACTAACGGCCAACTTTTTATAATGATCTTGAATAGCAACCAGCAAGTAGGGCCTATAAGAGCCAATAGCTAAGTGGAATCGCTTCCAAGCAGGAAATTTGATTTTAACGGAAAAAGGATTTATTTAGTGAAAACTTTCACAAATCTTTCTACCGCAATTAGGATCTTCATGAATGAAGAAATGAGAAATGCGGTAAAAATGATTCAATTTAGCTGCTAGAATTTTGCTGATGATACTAACTTATTTTCCCATGTGTAAAATTTACACCAAAATTATGGTCCTGACTTCAGTTCTCTATTCTTGTCGGAGGCGTGCACAAATCCAGTAGTGCACACATTTCTTGATTTAACCAATTTCTTTCAGCCTTCTAGGTTGTTCGAATGAGCTACTAGAATTTAGCTGATGGTACTAAATTATTGTTTTGCGTGTAAATTATTCTTATCGCGCACTTCCGCCTGCACTTTCGGCTACGTAAATATGCGATCGTATGTGATGCGCCATCTATTGCCGCATCAAACAGCACGTGGAAGCTACTTACAACCAAGTGCACTCGCCGCGGGCATTACCGCCTGGGGCGCGGCGTCCTCAGAAATTCCGGAATTATTTCCACCGCTGGCGATTCGCGCGAACTTTCCGCGCGGACTGATAAAAATGTCCGCCCAGCGGGACGCGGACGCGAACGCGCGGTCATCGCGGGGGCGCAATGAAATATTCATGCCGACAACTTACTCGTGGAACTTCCACCGAGAAGTTAAAGTCGAAGTAACGCGTCGTGGGCGGCGACAAAGAAACGCGAATGATGCGATAAAGCGCACCGAGAGGTTAATGGCGACTGTAATTTGCCGGCTGTTTGCAGCTTAAAGCGGCGGTCATGCGCGATTCGCCCGGACGAATTAGCGAGTCTCGCGGTTCTTTATTTACGGCCGCGACGTCGCGCGCTCGCGATATGTAAATCGCTCGCGATTCGCCAAGCCGTTCGCGGGCAATCCGCTCTTGAAAATTTTGCCCTCTGAGCGACCTCCGCGGCTATTCGGGAGAACTTTATTCTCGGGAGGTAAGATTTTCATCTGCCGAACTATAAGTGGCGCACGAGTATCGTTTTAACGTATCAATAATCATTGATAAGGCTGAAGCATTGGCGCGATTCGAAATATAACCGTAGCCAGTGTATTTATGATATACGCGATCGAATTGCTTTTAGATCGCCGTGACACGTCCCGGTTAAATATTAATGTCTGCGATGATAATCCTCGAATCGCGAAACTCGAATCTCGAAGAATCGTGCCGTGGAATTGGCACGCCGAAAACATACGTGCGCTCGCAGCTCTCGCATGTCTGTTGTCGGCCGTTGATGATCTTCACGGCTGAAAACGGAGATAGCTTATGCAGATTATCTATCTCGTTTATCCGACTCTTCCTTCTGAGAACGTCCCTGAAACGAGTATGCCGTGTACAAAGACGCTTTCTGTGTCCCGCTTTGCAAGGACGCCAGTTGTTTATATTTCAACAGTCGAGAAGAAAGGAAATTCTGCTGTGTATTTGTGGAAGATTGCCGAGAAAATCGACAACATTCTGTGAGATATGTGCTTGAAATTTAGTACATCTATAGTCCTGGATAAAGATTCAAAACAGGAACTAAAAAAGACAGTTTTCTCTACTTTTATCAAAGTCCTGCAAGTCAAAGACGAGTCTACTTAGACTCCACATAGAAGTATAACTCTCTTATAAATTAGCGCTTGTAAATCTGACTAGGCCCTATCTTGCCTAATTAGACTAAAGACTTATTTTAACTATTGAAAATGTAGTAACACTTGTCAAAATATTTCTCTTATAATTATCAATTAATGAATAGTCGTTTCTTCACTGAAACCATTTCAGGAGTTGATTAACTGACCTTGGTCAAGCCTTATTACATAGTAGCACCGTTTGGGGCTACTATGTTAAATTTTTCCTGCTAAAAGTTCATGATCTATTCGCGAAATTCTATTCAGAAGTTGCCTATTTCGATCATATCTAATATTTTGGAACACGTCAATTCACGACCTATTTATGAAATCTATTTATGAAATCTGGATCTGTCTATCTGGACCTGGGTTTTATAAAGACATGTCTATTTTAAGGCATTCCTGGTCAAGGCCACTACGTAGTTAGGACCCAGCCCGATTAATTTGTAGCCGAGATGTTACGGAAAAAAGCTGTCACGATGATATCTGTTTTTGATGTCGAGATAGATATAATCCACTTTGTCGTAATTTCGCTGTGATGATCGTATCGATGGTGCTTGCAGGTGGAGTTCGCGGCGGAGGGAGTCAAGATGGAGCTAATCGAGGCGGCCAAAAGCGGCGCAGCGGGCGCTGCCGCTTGGGGAAAGATGGATTTTCACTGTCGCGAGCCCAGAGCCTCGGATCCGATCACGTTCACTACCAGGGAGTCGCATCTCGTGAGTACACGCTCTCTCGCTCATTCTTAGAGAAAAGGAAAAAAAACCTGCAATGTCCACAAGAAGTGTCTGTATGCATACTTAGTCGCGACATTAATCGTCCGTGAAAGAGAAGAGCGCACAGGGTCGCCTGTAATAAACTCTTTCCTCGAAAACGAACGCAACCGTCGTACATTCAGGGACACCATCAATTCTTCAGAGCTACCGAGTTGTCGTACCGGGAGAATCGCTGTAACTTCCAAATTTATATACACAGCTCGATGGATCGTTGTAGCTCCGGGAGCTCTTCATGGTTCAAGCGCGAGATCGTCCTCGTGTGCATGTCGCACCGTTAACATGCGATTGAAATTAGACAGAATTTATTCGGTCCCTTTTACACACACACACAGCCGCGCGCGTACGAACCACCGCATGCGTTCTGCATTGAGCGTCGGCGGATTTAATTGTTTTTATACACACACGCGCCTCTCGCCGCAAGAGAGACCCGAACGCTCGCTCGCGCGCCCACATACACACGTGTCCGTTAAATAATGCAAGTAAGAAGTGCGACCCGGCTCCGTTACCGAGCGGAAACGTGACGATGGGGATATCCGATTAAATTAGGAATGCACCCGCGGGGGAGGTTTTTGCGCGAGTCAAGCGGCCTGCAAATAACCGTTCCGGCGCGGCTTCCCGCGAGTTCTCGCGAATATCACCGACGACGATGGCGGAGGCGACCGATGGCGAGGAAACTTCTCCCTCGAATGTCCTCGCCCCAAATTGCCAGGGCGCCTCTTGATTTTTTTATGTCGAATGGCGCAAGCCGGCCGCGTGTGCAGTCGATTTCCGATACGCCCCCTCCTCCCTGCGTGAGTTTGTGAAAAGAGACGAGACGAATTAGACCGCGAGCTAGTCGATTGTCCGTGTCGCGAAGATACCTATAATTTCGCAATATTGTGAGAAGAACGTTCGTCTGTCACACCACGAGCGTGATGTGTACACGGGGAGAGTTTTATAGGAAAGATCACTGTAGAATTTTTTAACCGAAAAGTAGTCCGACATTTTTGGCAATAATTCGTTAACTTGTTTCTTCTGCTGCTTATATTTTAGAAATTGAATTGGAACTGTTGAAAAATTCGCTGTGTTTTTATCGAAATTTCTACTACACTGAGAAGAAAACACTTTAAAAAATTACTTTCTCCAAAAATTCATTTTTGTAGGATAAAAATACATTTCATGTAAGTAAGCTTTATTTCATAGAAATACTTTACATTTCACGGCTAAATGTTCAAATATTTTTTCTCAGGGCATGTTTATCAGTATGATAGACCTTACTAACACTCCATTTCTGCACCACTAGAAACACAGCAAAATTAAAAAGAATTTATTGCAAAAAGGAAAACTATAATATTCTCTCCGTGTAGGAATGAAAAAAAATGCACTGAAAGAATGAAATGTCTGGAAAGTAAAAAATATTTATTCGGTGATAACACATTCGGTGATAACACGCTTTAACCTAAGTTCTTTCGTTGAAAAAGAATAAACATACTTTCATGAAGAACTGAGTTTCTCTTAAGAGAAAATGTGTCTTTTAATTTGAAAAATATTTTATCTTAGTATATAAATAAATATATTACTTTATATTTTTACACATATGCCGAATAAATATCTTTTATTTCTTAGATATTTCTTTCTCAGCGTGTGAACGGTGTCTTACGTGGACTCCGCTCGGGAATCTCTGGCATGTCGGTACTTCGTTCTTTTCTACCTGTCCGTGTATTGTTACTGTACTATGTGACAATATTCGCAGCGTATCGCTGCGCAGTCGACGATTATCGAGCACATCCCTCGCCGATCAATGTCTATCCGTTTCCGATCGGTAGCGTAAACTGCTCTCTGGACAAAGGGCATTATTATGAATCGTTTCTAGTTGGGAGAGTTACTTCTTGAAGAAGATAACTCATCACGCATTGAGAAAAGTGAACTAAGTCACCGTTATCGTTACTATCAAGGTAGTAACGAGCCAAGTTACAATTCCCGTTGCCTTTTTCCCCATGCGTTTTGAAAGCTTCGTTCCTTTTTTCACGATTCATTGCCGGCCATTTCATGAGGTTGTGCTGCACACGTGCGAAAGTAACGGTAAAAATAACGATTATAATCGTCACTCACAAGTTATAATTCTGTTGTCGTTATCGTTACTGGGGTTACGTTATTATTACATATTATTACACTAAGAAAAAATATTAAAAAATTAACAAATTTATTAGGTGGATGTCATATTTACTTAAATCAAAAGTCTCTTCATTTAAACCAAGTGTTGTTTACTTAAATCGAGTGAACAATACTTGATTTAAATGTAAAGACTGTTGATTTAAGTAAACATGTCAATAGCATCTACTTAATAAATGTTTGTTAGTTTTTAGATAGTTAGTTTTAGATATTTTCTTTTAGATAGTTAGTTTTAGATATTTTCTTTTAGTGTACATATTATTTATTATAGTATTACGAATCATCGTCGGAATAACGGGAAACTTCGCAGCGCCCAGATACGTAACTTGGAAAAGTAAAGAGGAAAGCTGGCTCATACGCCTTCCCTCCCTCCAACCCTTCTCCTTCGTCATCTTCGTGATCGAAGACCCCGGAGCGCTCATTCGACCTCGATGGCCGCGGCGTTAACGCGAGTGCGATGCCCATAGCGCGCACTCTCGTGCGCTTTTACAGGCGACGAAACATCGTCGTTACCATTGCAAATCCTTGTTATACCGGCCATCATCGCGTCAAAGGGACGCGAGGACGAGCGGACGAACGCTCCCTGAAAGCGCGTTCGTCGCCCTCGGAGCGCGAGGGCTTGTTTACGAGTGTGACCGTTCTTGGATTACCGCTCCGCATCGTCGCGGTTTATGTAGCTATGTGTGCATTAATGCATGCCACATCCATTCTGCCCCGCAGATATTCTTTCTTTATCCGCTCTAATACTGGAATGTTTTCTTTCTTTTCTCTCTCTCTCTCTCTCTCTCTCTCT